TCCTTTGTAAAAGGATCAACGCTTTTAATGATTTCAATTTAGTCCAATTGGTACCCCACCTACCTAAAATGTGTTGAACTCCGAATTTACTTGTTTATAAAAAGAAATCAATTTAGGTCTCAAGTAAAATGCATTAAGATTGTGGTTTAATTTTAGCTTTGTGGTTATATGTAATGTCTTTATGTCAATCTATGAAAAAAATGATTGGTATAAGTAGGTCTATAAGTATTAAAAGTCCAATAAAAAGATAAGGTAGGTTTGATTCAATTTTAAATAGAGAGTCATTGGTTGAGTCCTCTATTAACATGGTAACAACTTAACTAATTTGGCAAAGTGTGCATTATGCATGCCTCATTTTAACATTTAAAAAGATGGTTTAATTTTAGTTTTACAATTATATGTAACATCTTTATATCAATTTATGCAGAAAATGATTCATATAAGCAAGTCATATGTTGAAATAAAGAAATTATAAGAAAATAACTGCAACAATAAAAATAGTAAAAGTCTTAAATAACTAGAGTAATTGCTAAAAATTATAGTAATTTTTATTTTACAACATAATAGATTAAGTAATTAGTTGAGTATATAATAGTATGAAAATGTTAATAAAAAGTGGAAGTAATCATAAATTCTTCAAAGGTTATTGTCCATAATATAGATGAGTGAAACTTCTTTACCTCTTATTACATTATTAAACAAATTGGTCTCCCACTTTTGTTTCAAAGTATAGTGCATACATACTTTGAACATGAAACATGGTAAAAGGGAATGAGGCAACTAGACCTGGCAAACAGGCGGGTTGGAAGATTCGGGTTGGGTCAACTTGGGTGAGGAGTTATACGGGTTGGGTTATAAATGACTTATGGGTTGGAAAAGTCTAACCCTAACCCGACCCTAACGGGTTACGGGTTAACCCACGAGTTGACCTTATTTTCATTTTTTATAATTATTTTTTATTAATTTTATTATATACAAATGAAATTATATATATTTAAATCTAATTAAAGTATTGTGATTCATTAAAACTAAGTACTTTATAATCTCAACCACAAACAATTAAATTAAAAAAAATCATAAAGTTATAAATAATAATAAGTTGATTAACAATAACAACATTAAATGTAAAATATTTAAATTTCTTAGAAAATAAAGTTTTAATTTTATAATCATTTTAAAACATTATCAAGTAGTTTAAACTATTTTTTTAATGATAAAATTGCTCTTCCAAGAACATTTTTCACTAAGTTATTATGTTTATGTCCTA